AGGAAGGGCCAAAAAGTGGGATTACCAAACACATCCATTTTTTGCGTGACGTCAATAGGAATATTGTAGACACCGGAAAAAAAACCCGTTTGGTGAGAAAAAAAATCAAAATTATTATATATTAAAAAAGAGAGGGCAAGCCGTAAGCAAACATGTTGAATGATGTTGTAAATGATATTATCAACGTACAAATTCCTCTTAATATACACTTTATCTTTTATTTTATTACAAGAAGATTTGAACAGATATAAAATTATAAAAATCGTCAGTTATGCAAAAATATGAACAAAAGTATAGTTTAAGCTGGTATTTCCTCAAAATTGGAGTTAGAGGACGTGAACAGAGTCATTAGACCTCATAAAAATCGAACAAAATCCTTCAGTTGTTGGAATTCAAAGATTATACATAGAATAAGTAAATATAGATCAAAATTACGTTGCATATATCCTTAAGCAGGGGTTATGTAGAATAAAATATCCTCATTCCAACATAGACCGAATGTCAAGCACAAATAGACAGGAAATCTACTAGCAACAAAGTGTGTTCTGTAAAAACATACTTAAATTAAATGGTATACACTGTTTTAATTTAAATAAATAGAGGCTATCCAATATTCTGTAGCTGAACGTGTACTTTATTTTAAAAGAGAGGGGACAGGATAATTATTATCATGAGTTCAAACTCTGTCTCACAAGTATAATAAATGACATATCCAACATCAAAACATTTAGTATCCTGTTCATTTATTACTGAACATTTTCTCTTTTATCTCCTATGAAAACTGATTCATTCATTTGATTGACTATTTCCTTGCAGAAAACCTTTAATTCGCATGTATTTTTCCAATTCGGTTAGCAGCGGTTTTTTATTCATCAATACTTGGTGAAATTGTTAATTATGAACATTTTTTCCTGTTGGTAAATGGCTGGTAATCTATGTTAAAAATAGTTAAATATATATGCAACAGCTATGGGCGACACAACATAATAATTTTCATTATATATATATATATATATATATATATATATATATATATATATATATATATATATATATATATATATATATATATATATATATATATATATATATATATATATATATATATATATATATATATTATTATTATTATTATTATTATTCCTTAGTTTATATTTCCATTTGCAAATGTTTTCCCTTGCATAACACTATTTGAACAAGGCGTATTAAATTTTGTGTAGAAACAGGTTCGTCACCTGACCATAAATTCATTGTTAAAGTATATCACTTGTGACATTAGTTATATAAAGGATTTTTTTAGGATTATATTTTAGATAAGTACATGTACTTATATAGCATGATTCAAATTCGTAAAGAAAACTGGGGGTAAGTGTGCATCTCACTGAGCAAAGGTAAAATTAACTTGAACTTTTTGCATTTAAATTGTAACTCTTAAGTTAATGATTTTAACCAGTATCATATTTTACCAGATGTAATCATGGTAATAAATATAATTTTATTTTGCGTAAAATAGTTTGAATAATATTTATCATTGAACAAACCATGCAAATTAATGCGCATAGATTATTGTGTGACGTATTTGCACTGAAAAAAGTATTGTATTTGGGGTTTTAAAAATCTAAATAGGCAATAATATATCTTTTTGAATCAAATTTTTTACGACTTAAGTGCTGATCGGTTGGAAAAATCTTGTTTAAAATAATGAAGAAAAAAGTTGGAGCCAGTGGTGTGAATTTTGAGTATTGGTCAAAATATGCGATTATCTTCAATACATCTTCATTTCTAGGCGAATTTTGTTGAGTGAATGTGTAAAACTTGTTACAAATTATTAATTGAAACCTATATGTAATATTCCTAGCATATAATAACGAAAATAATCCTCTGAGTAAAAAAATATGGTGAGCTAAAGTTCGAAGATATCAAATTAAACAAATGATTGTGTAGATTTGAAGAATTTTCTTCTTTATATCATCAGCTGAATATCCTTCCGCCCCAAGAAAAAGTCCCTCATAAATCTTGTTTTTTTTTTTTATTATTTTATGAGCAGTTTTAAAATTGAATGTTGTATAATTAGCATTGTTTAATTCAAATATGTTCGAGATTGAAAACTGTTCGTTATCTTCATATTCATTATAAAAATTTAATTGTAATAAACAGTTTGGAAGATAGAGGTCTTGCAGAAATTTTCCTAAAAGCTGACGAGTGACATACCTTAAGTCATAAGCGATCGTAGTTATTTCATAGTGCTGTTATTTTGATTTTTGATTTTTTTTCATAAAGTAGGATTTCTTTTAGTTTTTTATTGACCTGGTGAAGAAAGAACAATGAAGTTAGCTGGGATTAGATCGCTCACAGATTACATACGCATAGCGCCTTTCTGTGGACGTATTCAGAATGAATAAAAATAGAAGAGTGTATGTTTTCACAATCTTTTGTACTACTGTTATTTCAACCTTTTTTGTTTCAAAGACTCGAGGAAATCTCCCAGTCTAAATGAGCTTCGAGACAAAGGCTTTGCGAAAATTAATTATCATATATCAACGACTATAACAAATGTTTTCATTCATTTACTTGTGACTCTCATTACCATTTTCCAACGGTGAATAAAGTCAGGATAATTTCTACAAAAGGAATCAAAGTACTTAACTCAGAGCACGAAACGAACTGGAAAGCGCTAATTGTAAACAATGCTTTTTAATTTAAAGTCATCCAAATTAGTTGAAATTCTAAAGTCTCTGTTGTATTGGAATAAGTAATTTGTTGACCCTGTGACTGTTGGGGGGGGGGGGGGGTAGCAGTTGTTTAATATATTATTCACTCAGAAATTATTAAAATCCGGTTAGTGTTGTTCTGTTTACTTTTTATTAATGTTTTTTCTATTAATAGCAGTCGAGTGATGACGTCGTAATGGTGCACTTCTTGGCCTCAGACACTCTGTTGTCTTTGATAACTTAAATTTTAAAACTTAAACTTCTTGAAAAAGTCTAAATTTCTCGAGAAATGATTTGAATTCTTCTTTAACATACTCGCGTTTCAAGGGTCTAGACTGTAACCTCACATGACGTCATATATATAAAAGTTCCATTACCATAACGAAGTCTTTAAAAGGCATATTTTTAACAAAGAGAATCTAATTTACTTCTTCCACCGATTAATAGGTGCAGGACTAAACCTTTTTTTAATTAAATACAGATTTATCATTTCGCGCAGAGTTACGATCACATTTTTCTTTTGAAAATGGCAAGTTTTGTATCAGTGTGACCTACTGTTAAAAAAACAGATATCATGAGTAGTCAACTGTTAATAACACAAAATTCTTCCTATATAACTATGACAAAGGCATAACAAAAAAAAAAATAAATAAAAATGAGTCGGGCTCGTATTTTTTATATCAAATTCTAATTATAAAGAAATGGAATTTCGAGTTTAGGCAGGATCTTATGAATATTAATAAGATGTTTATCACGTGAGAACAAAAACTGCACGCCTTTTCTTCTTATGAAGAATATTTGGATTGACAACATTGATACAAATGAACTTTTTTCTAAAGTAACTTCTGGACACAGAATGCAACACATAGACTGTTTTTCTATAACTGTCGTACTTCTGTAATGTTCTTTGGTGCAATAAACAAAGAAAGCTTCATAAAATAACTCACTTGTTTTAATGAAATTTGCTGAGAGAAAGCTAATAAGATTCTCTTTGTTAAATATATTATGCCTTTTAAAGACTCCGTTATGGACATGCAACTCATATATGCCGACATGTGAAGTGACAGTCTAGACCCTTCAAATGTCTCGTTGTGCGGTTTGAAAAGGCGGACATAAACAACTGCACTTGCCCCAAAGGTCGCACAGACAACAAATCACTTATTCCAGTACAATAGGGAATATAAATTTGAACTTATTCTGATGTTTGTAGCTTTAGCGCTTTCCAGTGCTTTCAGTACTTTAATTTTTTTTCTCGGACCAGAACCACCCACCCCCTCCCCATTCTAATAAAATTTCTTTACAATCTCCGGGCGTCGAAAGGATATTGGACTTTTGTATGGTTTGGGAAATAAAGTTGTAGTTAAAGACTTTGGTTTCAATACATCTATTACGGCTGAATGTTGAAAGAACAGAGTACTTTAATGCATGAATAGATTCTGGTTGAATATACACAATATCTTTCCTTTAAGTAACCTCCTCAAGGTGGTTTAAAAAATAACCATAACAGTAACTCCTTTCTAGAATTTCCTGGTTCTTGGAGAAAGAATCAGTAACTTTTAATATAACACATTTTTAAGATTAACACGTTCTTATTTATAAAATAATCCAAACAGCCACTTCCTCCGTTTGAAATATATAAATTTGAAAAAAAGATAACGACTTAAATAAAAAAAAAATAAATAAAAACACAATAGATATCGCAAGAAAATTCACACGAATTGAAATATATAACATCCACAGTATTCAGTCATATCGGATATCGGGGTGGAGTTGTGGATTGGTTGGGGTTACTAGTGAATATATTTCAACTGTAAAGATCCTATTTCAACTGTAAAGATCCTACAAAAACGAAATGTGATAAAAAAAAATATTTGCACAAATTAAAAGTATATGACGTCCAGTCCTTGGGTTTGGGGTGGCAGGTGTAAATTCTTATAATTAAAGGAGCCACTGCATCGCTTAATGATACATTAGTTTGTATCATTAGCGGCCGATCATGTACGTAGATACACATTTTTTGCTTGTTTCCTTAAGCGTTGGAGCTTAATGATGTAATCCTATCACAAAGCACGATTTGGCATTAGCGGTTGAGAATGTCAGCTATTAATGCAATGGCAATGAGCGTCACAATTACAACGCCTAATGATATTCCTATCATTAAGCGGCCTTTTATCATTAGCGGTTGCTACAATGCACTGCATTACAATTCATCTGTTTTTTGCACTGAAACAAGATAATGTGTGTATCGAAAAAAAGCAATAGGTATGGATAAAAGATAGAAGAGCCGTGTAATATGCTGATTTTATTTTATAATATAAATACACTTATTTGTAAAATTTTATTAATGTCACATGACAATCGAATCAGCCAAGAATTCCGGGAATCGATATTGCTGTTTGGTTTGGTTTTATACTGTAGTAACAGAAATGGAGCCTCATGTTCGCATGACTGCAACCCGAATCAACGAATGGATGAGCCCCTCCGCACGAGTCTTTATTCGCCCCATCTTCATCATCAAAGAAGATGACCTCTTCTGTTACCTGCATTCCAAGCACCTGCTGACATCCACTGGTGAAGCGGAGGAGGTAGAAAGGCTTGTCAATCGGCAACAATATCTTAGTTTGAGGATGACCATCTTGTCTATTCAAATACAATGAAAAAAAAAGTAATTATACACTCATAATACATTTTACTTTGTTTTTTGTTCTAAATATCTAATAATCATGCACATCGTTCACATACAATGCAGCTCATGTTAAGTGTATGCATTTTGTGAAATATCTGGTATTTAAGTTACCTCTGGACGCCAAGCGTCATACCGCAATTTTGACTTGTTTCATCTTAAAAATGTAGGTTTTCCTGCTTACTTTGTTTTATGAGGATTGATTGATTGTATGTTGTTTAATTCGTTAATTTTTCACTCATATAGAGACGTCAGCGTATGCCGGTGAAGGGCTTCAAAATTAAGGCCTCTGAGCAGTGAGGGTTCTTCATCGTGCCAACGACTACTGTGACACGAGATCTCGATCGGTTTTAAAGGTCTCATCCGAAAGACCTGCGACCTTTACGTTTGGTAAAGGAACAGTCACTACCTATGTTTACGTCTAAGGTTTGACTAGTCAACGGAATCAAACCCAATCAAACCAGGCTTCCCGTTCACGAAGCTTGTTTTATAAGGAATAAATTTACTGAAGCCATGGAGATGAAATTGGCAGTTAACAAAGTAAATGGAGATAATAACCTCGTTATGATTTACATAAATAGAATAATAATTTCATGATGGCATCATCTCTATTGCCTATATAGGATTGGGTTATAGTGGTGTGTAGAGCCTAAAGAGAAATACATTTAGATCATTTTCAACAAGAACGTTACAAGGATAAGTCAATCATGATCACATACATATTACATGTAGAAGAATTATCAAGGTGTTATTATGCAACTTCTTCAGGAATGGTCTATGGTGTTAGGAACACTGTTGCCGATACTTGTCGGTTATTTCCTCTACCTAAACCATAGGTTATACACTGCCCATTACGCCCAATTAGAAAAATACAAGGACAAAAAGTAGCCAGAGAAAACAAGATTGAAGCTGAAATGCCATTTTGAGTGTCAGGATGCTCAACTTGCGGGGGCATCAGCTTTCCTAAGATGCGGTATTGATAGCTATGAAAAGATATGGTTGTATTGCTATGAAAAGAAATGGCTGAATCAAAGATTCAGGGGCATATAGTTTTTGCTCTTTCCATCCTTTTGTCTGTTTATCTGTTTGCCCGCAAAAACTTTAACCTTGTCCATAACTTTTGATTGGCTGGAGCAATGGCTTTTTCACACGAGTATTCCTTGTGACAAGTCCTTTCTCTGGATACCAAGATATTTGACCTTGGAGTATGATCCACTTTTGCAAAATTTCAACAAACAATAACCTTGGCAATGACTTTTGAACGATAAATGCTACGGCTTTCTTACTTCACAGATGTATTTCTTGTGATAAGACCTTCCCTTTGGCACCATTTATTTTTACCCTTTTTTCCTTGACCTTGGAGTTTGACCTACTTTTGAGAAACTTTAACCTTGGCCACAAGTTTCGAACATTTAGTACTAGGGTTTTCATATTTCGCGTGTGTATTCCCTTTAAAAGACCTTTCCTTGGGAACCAATAGCTTTGACCGTTTAATGGCTTTTATCTTTGACCTTGGAGTCTGTTCTACTTATGAAAAACTTTTACCTTGGTCATAACTTTTGAATGGTTTGTGCTAGGGCTTTCATATTTCACATGTGTATTTCGTGTGACAAGACCTTCCCTCGGGCACCGTTTATTTTCATTCTTTGACCTTGACCTTAATGTATGACCTAATTTAGAGAAACTTTAACCTCAGTCATATCTTTTCAACAGTTGGTGCTAGGGATTTCACATGTTTATTTCTTGTGACAAGACCTTTCTTTGGATACAAATATTTTTGATCTCTTGACTTTGACCTTGGAGTTTGACTAGCATTTGAGAAAATCTAGTCTTTGTCATTAGCTGCAATACGGGGGCATCTGTGTTTCACAAACATGTAATTGTTAACCTTTTTTTCTTTGGCCTTAGACACATTGTTGTGTACACTTTACCTGCAGCAGTACCAGATATCAGTGTTATGGGAGTAACCACCGTCCGGTAGAATACCTCCATGATGATTTTCATTGTTTCCATCCTCATCATCCCAGTGTAAATAACCAGCGCCGAACCCTGACAAATTAGAAAGTCATTGTTAATTAAAACACATCCTAATCATCCCAGTGTAGAAAACCAGCGCCGAATCCGGACAAATTAGAAAGTCATCGTTAATTAAAACACATCCTAATCATCCCAGTGTAGATAACCAGCGCCGAATCCGGACAAATTAGAAAGTCGTTGTTAATTAAAACACATTACTGTAGTTCTCAGAAATTTATACTCTAATTTAAGTCAAATTCCTTTGCGGCTTAAAGGATCATGCACTTCCTGATTTTTTTTATTTATTTATTTATTTATTTTTTTACAATTGTACATTTCGATATTTAATAAAAAGATCATTCAATGATTTAACATGAAAAGAATTAATATTCAGCGACAATGATATTCTTCATTACCTTACACATGTGTTTGGTGCACGGGATGTATTCGATTTGCTTACACTATACAAGCCACTAAACACGAGCAGACAACACTGGTGTGTAGATATTGCTTTCTAACATTTTTTTTACTTTTCTTGAATATACTTCTAATATATTTTTTAACGTCGCAAACTTCCCACTTTTCAAAAATAGAAAGGACCAATTTTTATTACACGAAGGTGCGAGTATTTTTGACAAACACGCCTGGAATTCATAATACTAGAGTAGCTGTAAATTTAAGATTAAAAAGAATTCTGAACTGCCTCTGATATGATATATCGATTTGGAACACTCTAGCAACATGCAAGTCATAAAAAGATGCCGAAAATTCTGCGGGATATATACATCAACATTATGCCTATATATACCCTGTAATCAGACGATGTATTAAAAATATACATGTGCTGCTTTGAAGTTTATTCAGATCAAAAATTTATGTTTTTTTTTAAATTCTCATTATATAATTTGACTCTTACATAAGATTTAAAAATCAAAAGACAATAAATAGACTGGAATAAAATCAATCCTTAAATCATTCAGGCACTACTCTATGAATTTATAACTTAAAATCACGGAGTTTACCGTATGGACAGTCGCCTTTCTTTGCGATACAGTAGTTTCCCGTTGGCCACTTTCTGTTGTATTCATTCACAGTTGGGGTTTGTTTAACACAAAAACGTGTCGTGATAGCATCATGGTTTAAAGGTCCTGAAAATAATTTGAAAGAGGATGAAAGATGTATTAGATTTTGTAATGTGTGTATATGACATCCTTTAAAAAATTCATTTCTTTATTTGTTTAGATTAAAATCATTATAATTGTTCTACCCTTTTGCATTAAAACAATACATTATGATTTTTCATGTAAAATCCTTGTTAAAAGAAAACAGAATGAGTCACCAACTTCTAAAAATCAATGCAAATGTCAGGTTGAAATAAAACTTCTGTGAAAATCACCCAGACATTTTGTTAAAAATCTCATACCAAATTCTTTTCACATATTCTCATAATTCAAACACAGTTGTATATTCAACACTGTGTACCTGTCATATGTATCCCCGGTGTCCATTGGTTACTATTCCGGCGGTCTTCCGTATCTTGAGTCAAATAACCGGTTACAAAGTCCAACGGATCAGTCGGACAACCGGAAGTAGGCATGTAAAGTGCATAGGTCCCAGAAGGCCATGTCACCGGAAGCTTAATTTCTACTGATGATATTTAGAAAATAAAGATATGGAAGTAAATTCTTTCCCTCATGGAACATGACATGTATAAACTTTTACCAGTTCTAAGTTGCCAGTACAAAGATTCTGAAATAATTTATAGTATTGTGCAGATATATTTCACATTTTATCAACTTTAACCTACACGAAGGAGGGACCTCTCCACCAATGAGCGTCGGGTATTCACTCAAGGCTCTCTCCATATTATTCTTCCATACAGTCAGGTTAATAACTTTACAGATCCCACTGTCAACGAGAACGTCCTGGACTTGCCAGTATTTTTCCGCTATGATGTCAGATATTGGTATCATGGCCCAAGAAATGGGAGCCTTTATGGGAAACCCGGTACTGAACTGGGCCAGACTGGATCCAAGGGGAAGCTTTGGAAAATCACTATGATGAAGGTGTGACATGTTTAACTGCACAACGGATCCGTATCCTAATAAAGACTCCGTTTTCAATATAGCAGCGCCATCGTTTCCCTAAAGAGAAAACTAATTTGATAAGTATATCATTATCATCCATTGTATTATATATACAATCTTTTATGGCAAACTAGTTATTTCACCGAGTTACCACTTCCTTCCCTCGCCAAGAATCCCTCTCCCTTCAACGGACCCTTTTCTGATTTCCATTCTAATCATTGAGTCAGACTGACTGAATTTTTTCTTTGCTTAAACTTACCAATTTCAATAAGTATTCCTCCAGATCTGATATAGAAAGGCGATATCTTGTTACATTCCGCGCCCCTAGATCCACCTCCATGGTGACGTGCTAAAAATATCAAAATTTTTGTATTAAAATACTCTTTCTTTAACCATTCCTATCAATATTAACATGACAAATATACATAGTTATGCCCATGCTGTACACATACGATACGCGATGAGCTGAGTTTTAAAATTACTGAAGTGATACAACTGTAAATGTAAAATCTTGCGCTTTCTACATACATGCATCATTTATATGCATATTGCTTGTACTTATTCTTTTATTCCATTAAAAAAATCTTTAAATAATTCTTAAATGTGTATTTTTTTTTTACCAGGAATTACAAACTTGATTGAAACTACGGTAAAAGTAACCAGTTTTTATCGTCATACGCGTGAGATTAATGCAAGTGGAGGACATCATTTTAATAAGGGTTTGGAAATGTTTAAAACAAAAACAAAAAAAAAAAAAAATAAATAAATAAATAAATAAATAAATAAAAATAAATAAATAAATAAATAAATAAATAAATAATTGGCGCTTCAAAGTTACTCAGCTTTCTATTTAATACTTTTAAGTGTGTTAAACAGAATGTAATTCAGGAATAAGATTTTATTTTAAAATACTTTTTTTTTTTAAATTACGTCGATCGTTTATGACTTTACAATGAATTTGTGGTCATGTGAAAACATGAACTTAAACAAGATCAATACGCATTGCTAAAATAGAGTCATATAAGGGGAAATATTTGTGAATATAAATATATTTCTAAATCTTTTTATTTCATCTTATGAAACTTTACCGTTCCCCAGGTGTCAATAAAAGCTTTGTAAGAACTCTGATCATATATCATTGGTAGTTGACACACATCACGAGCGAATTCCTGTGTGATCATATTTCGTTCTACATGACCCACCGGAAGAACATATCGAGCATGCTCTGATGTACAGGAAATGATTTCATCTCGAAAAACGTCATATTGAGTCAAGGTTTTCTGCTTAATATCTTGATAAACTACAAACAATTAAAGAAATGTTGCTGCACTTTTATTTTCATTGCTTTGTGGCATAAAATTCTGTGGAATTTACTATGCAATAAACTTTTAACAGATGATAGATGCTTGTATTTTAACAATTCTTTTCCTTTTTGTTCCTTCTACTCCTGTCGTAGATATATATGTGTGCTAGGTTTCATTGATTTGGGACTATAGAACTGCGACAACCATGATATGTCGCAAATAATTCAAACTTTATTTTAAATTTGTAAGTTTTTTATATTAATATTTCCTTACGTGGATTAGCAGAGAAAGCGTAACTGCTGACTGGTGCCATTCCGCTATCTAAAACACCAAAATGTATATTCAGCTTACCAATAGTAACATTGAACAATAAAATGCATTTCGGTATTGAAAAATGAATTAAGAGTATCTGTTGTTGATTCGTCAGAGGTATTTCATATGCTAATAAATTTTCCAAGCCTGCATTTTACCTGTTGTAGATATGTAATGAAGAATATATTCCTTGTACGACTCAGGGTCATAAAAGACGGAAGTTGACGACATCTGCGTGCAACGTGGGTAAGCCGTCTTTTTGATATATGAACTTCCGTCAATCTCAGTCTCCAGAATGTTTCTTGTCAGGAGCAAACCAGGGTCTTGTCCAAGCTTTGCCCATTCCCCGCCGTCTGGATTCCCTTTAACCATGTTGTAGCCTACACCAAGGTACAAGTTGTCTAAAGTTGACTGAGCAGGACAAACAAAGGCAGGCAAAGACCATATAAACACCACAAGGACAGAGACCTGTAAATCAAATTTCCTCTCATAAACTCTAATATTTTTTCGATAATGGTTTCTAAGTTTATCTCAGGGACTTAGCATCGTTTTTGAAAGGGGGTCAGCCAGTAGGGGGTGGGGGTGGGGTAGGTAGGTTCTAACTTCTTTCACTACCAAATTTAATTCATAAACTACTACAAAACCTTTTTTTACTATTCTACAACAAAAAGTGGGGGAGGGGGCTTTCAATTAACATTTCAAATAGTAAAAAAGTCTTTGGAAAAAAGTGGGGGAGGGGGGAGGGGCTAGCCCCCCCCCCCCCCCCGTTGCTACGTGCCTGTATTTGATCACAGTTTTTGGCCTTTCCTTGAGATTTGAGAGTTCGGTAACAAAAAATATACAGCTCTTTTCAATCAGTGTTCCAGCTACCCTACGTTTCACTTTAGAAATACGGTTTTAGTTTGAAAGTTTGCTGTCTCAATACTTTCTTCTGGATATTTTCATCATTGCAATTCAGGCCCATAGAAACGGCTTCGAAAGTTGGGGGGGGGGGGCAACTTCCGAAATATATCTGACAATTAAGCAAAAAAAAAAAAGCTAATTTACTGAGCCTGTGCTCGACCTTACTACATCAAAAAGTGTGTGTGTGTGGGGGGGGGGGGGGGGGAGAGACAACCAGCATCTAAAAGAAAATCTACAATAGCAAAATACTGTACTTGGAAAAAACGTGCACCCCCCCCCCCGTTCTTGGCATTCAAAGTCGGAATGAAAAGGAGGTTGGTTATCCCCCATCTCCACATGATTTTTACTTTTCTTCCTATCTGATACCCCGAACATTTCTCTCCTTTTTTGTTTTTTCAGCTTTATACCCTTGCAACCTCTCCTCCCTGTTCCCGCCTTGCACCCATTCCCCCCACCTCCCATTTATACTGCCTCCTCCTTCTCTTCCTCTTTGGATATATATATATATATATATATATATATATATATATATATATATATATATATATATATATATATATATATATATATATATATATATATACAATTAATTACCCCTTATGAGGTCAACGTGAAATAAGGACCCGAGACCTGGCCCACGAGGTGACCTGACCTGATCGAGGCCGCGCAGCCAGGTCGGTCCTTATTTCACCATGTTGAACTCATAAGGGGTAATCAATTGTTTTTAATTATTATACCGACATAAGTTAAGAAAATTTTGTAGGCTTAATTACTAAAATTGTCAATTGTGTATTAGACCTACGAACTTTTATTATCAGTGTTTCATCGGGATCGGGATTCGCTAGTGAAGTTTGTTTACTTTTCGCCTGCAAGTCTTGTAAGTTTTTGCACCGCCGATTTATTAAAACATTCTGTGATTGTCAGTAACATGCATTTTTATAAATTCATAAATACCATTTCCGAGTACAATGACAATCTGGTGCAGACTTTTACTGTACAAAAGAGCCAATTCTGCATTCGTTGAATTTGACATTGTAACGAAAGTTTCAATGAAAACGATAAATTTTATGACGCATCTGAAGGACTAGTGCGAAATATCTGAAGTTTTCTTGGCTTTTTTACGATTTTGATATTTTACGTGCCAGGAAAACGTCAGAACCGGTGCCATTACGAAAACTGGGAATTCGCCGCCTCCAACCAGAGGCGGCATTCTCGGGTTGATTTTCTATACTTGCGAACCGAATTAAATGTCAAACTCACAACTTATCAATAGTACAATACCTTTAGTACTCACCAACATCGTTTTTATGGTTCGTTTATAAAATATACAATCCGATGAAAACATTTTATCTGACTGTTGAGATTTGTTTTCATTTTGTGCATTTTAAAATCTTGCAAGTCCTGTATCGAAATGTGGAGTGATGTTTTCATTTCATCGAGTTTGGTGAGTACAAGAAGCATTGTGCTATCGATAAATTGTGAGTTCACCATTTAATACGATTTGCAAGTATCGAAACTCAACTCCGCAAATTTCCAGTTTTCTTAATGGCGCCGGGTCTGACGTTTTCCTGGCACGTAAAATATCAAAATCGTGAAAAAAGCCTGGAAAAACGTCAGAAATTTCGGACTACTGAAGGACAATCGTATTCCTTATCATAAATAGACTATACATACTTTTATAACGACACTTTTTTGTAATGAACTGTCATTACTGTATGCATTAGTTTTTAAATTTAAATGGAATTTAGATTAACAGGTCATTTTAGCGGTCATTACTGGAGTATTTATAATGACCGGGTCATTATACCCCACGTGCAATGGTTCCTAGGTCATTATTGCTATAAATGGTACTTTTTGGAGTCATTATTGAGGTTAAAAAACCTTCTAACAAGCCAATCAAATTTGAGTATTCTTAATAGAGGTATAATAATTTAAAAAAAAAAATACCATTCTGATTAAATTTGACATCTCTAGACTAAGGAAATTAATCCTTATGTATGTAGTTATAATTATAACTAATCATATTCACATAGCTTCATAAAACCTAACCAAATAAAGACAGTCACATCCTGGTGTCGAAATTCTATAATATAATTCTTCTGTATGGTTGTGAAATTTGTAAATAACCCCTTTGCTTCCAAATTTAAATACAAAGATATTACAATGGACAAAATATTTAACAAATTAAAATGTGAAACAATGCACACTAAATACTGCAAGGCTATTCTTGGTGTGCATAGGAAGTCAACTAACTTTGCAGTTCTATCTGAGCTAGGTAGATTTCCACTGTATTATAGAATTATTAAAGCTATGCTAAGTTATTGGTTTCGATTTGAAACATTACATCCATCTTTTGTCCTTTTCAAGGAAGCGTATTCAGTATCAAAAAGCCTCTTTCTACACAATAAACCATCATGGTTTGCATCCATCCAGACAATTTTGGGTTAGTTATCTGATTTAAAAAAAAAATTGACTTATCAAAACCAAGCATTTATTCATTTAAAAAGAAGTCATCATGTATTATAAGACAGTATTTTATAAACCTATGGTATAAAGAAAATAAAGTGCAAAATAATGGCAAACTAAGAACTTATTCCACTTTCAAAAACAACTTTGGAAGAGAGCACTATCTCAACATTATTAATAACTATGATCAGAGGAAAAATGTAACTAAACTACGCATTTCTGCACATCAATTAAATATTGAAAGGGGAAAATATGCAGGGCTTCCCCCTGAATCTAGAAAGTGTTCTCAATGTAATACGCAGGAGGTTGAAGATGAACAGCATTTTTTGCTTATATGTCCAAAATATAAGAATGAAAGGTTGCAATTAATGGAAACAATTTCAAAAATCAACCCAAATTTCTCTTCTTTGACACCTGCTGAAAAACTTGTATGGATTTTGAATAATGAAAATAAAGAAATTTTATGCTTACTTGGGAAATTTATTTCTGAAAATGGTAAAAGAACCAATGTATAAATACATCTGTCATCATGTACATGCATGCCTTTTCTCCAATTTTACTTTATTGTATTTTTTTCTGAAATATATTACAATTTTAAAGGGAACAAACCCATACAAATGTATAAATACATGTATGAACTTGTTGTAGCATAACATATTTGTATTGTCTTGGGATCAATGACCATAATTTGGACACTTGGCACTGGTATTGTCTATAATTATTAACGCTGAATACAATGTTATATAACTGTTTATGTAACTGTTTATATATATATATTTATTTATATACAAAAAATGTATATTGTGAATTATGTTTAAATTATGCATTTATATATGTGGAAATGCCTCTCGGGGCCCTTGATTGGTAAATAAAATATCTTGTGTCTAATACAGTAATTTCCGTGTTACCGGTACTGTACTTTCCTTGATCCAATTAAAAATTGTGTAATTCAATTAAACAGATTCACGATTCATTTTTTTTTTTATCAATCTTGCAATCCATAATGTCCCTACACGTATTTCATTGCGTTTTAATACTATTCCTTTCTTTTGCGCGATAAACTGTTCAATGATAGTGTACAACATACTTCCTAGTCCGCAAGCATTACACAGGTCAAAGATAAAACCAGGAAAACCCTTAATGTGTGTAAAGAGTTTTATTTCGTTCTTCTAAAGCGAAATTGTCAGCTAAAGAAATTTCAGAAATGATTCACAAAAATTTTCTTTAAATATAAATAATATATCCTTGATTTTATGAAATATATCCTTGATTTTATGCACAGAAATAAGAAGTAAATGTAGAAAAGGGCGTTAGGGTTTATATTTTTGTCGTTCTTAAACTTCCGTCAGTTATTTGGATGAAAACTGAAAAATTAAAATCTCACAATATCGATGTACGCTGTTCATTTACACTGTTGACTTTTTTTTGGTTAACTGATGTTTCCTTATGATTACCGGTAACAATTTTCCATCTGGCATTTATTCATATTTGGCTATTAAAAATCACGTGAAAAATGGCGCTACTCTTATAACAATATAAATATGCCTAGTATTTAACATTTGAACTTATTATAGATCAGTAATCAACTAGTACAGTGTATATAATGCAAAATAATCTTTAATCGAGGACCCTTAACCTAATGCGGACATTGTTCATTTAATTTGGTGACACGATGACAAATTCAATTTACCTTCATAATGAGTATAATCCGTGGTTCGTAATAGCTGCGCGGAATATAAGGTTTAAAAGTTTATCAATAGAGGTCAGCTGAAGGGGAATTCAGTTTTGTGCTTATCATTTTATATGGCGTTTAATTTATTTGATGTTCTGCAAAACAATTCCTATGTGATTGAATTTTCAAATATTTTTTTACCAGTCTTCTTAATTAGAATAAAGGACACGTCATGCTGTTTTTAACTGTAATTAATATGACTGATGTCGAGGCAGTATATATAGATCATTCCTCTTTGATTTCACCGTATAGAATTATTCAGCTCTTTAAATGAAAATTCTTTTTTATTCTAAACATAACCAATAAGTCCTGTAATTTCAGTGTCCGTAAATGCACATATGATATTGAATACATATTTTTTATTCTAAAATATGCCCGAAGAACGAGGGGGGGGGGGGGGTATAGTATAGTATTTTGCTAAAGTAAATTTTCTTTTAGATGCTGGTTGCCACCCCCCCCCCCCCACACCCACTTTTTGATGTTGTATGGTAGAGGACTGGCAAATACAAGGATTCGGACAGTAAATGACCTGTTTTTTTGCTTGTCAGATTATTTGGGGAAGTTTGTCCATCCACTTTTGAAACCGTTGTTACGGGCCTGTGAAATGTAAAGTTCTTTGTACAGTGTTTATTTCAGGGTAGGAGCAAATTGTCATCTCGAGACCAGTTTTCAGAAGCGCATGAACTCAAAATGAAAATGGGCATTACGTTCATTTAAAATAGATTGATATCAAACAATGACAAGGAACTAATTATAGACGTGGCATTAATAAACAGTCCTAAGGGACCGGAACGGAGACCCCTGAACATTCACTTAAACTTAGGTCATGTGATAATTTAACAAGGAATATTACTTTGAGAAAAAAATGAACTGGAGGTGCATATTGTGATAAGTGATTTAAAGCCAGTGGCGGAAGTACTGACTTAGCCATTATAGAACTGTCAACAACCTCACAAGTATAACGTTTTTCAAAAAGCTTTGCCGTCTTTAGCAACAACTTATTACAGTTAACTGATATACACAAGTCAGGCCGTATCATTCTGGAAAGTCCCTGGCTTTGTGTTTTTCAGCAGCTTTTTACAAACATACTTACTTACTTAGTCCTCTTCGTGCTGGTCAGCACTTAAGGCCGTCACCAGAGACTTCCATGTTGGTCTATCTTTTGTCCATCTCTGGACCTGCCCCCATGTCCAGTTGTTTTCTTTTATTTCTTTCTCCACCGATCTTCTCCATGTCTCATTTGGTCTTCCTCTCTTTCTCTTACCGGTTGGTTCCCATCTCAATGCAACCCTTGGGATGGAAGTTGGGTGCATTCTACATATGTGTCCTATGCACAGCCATTTTCTTTTCATTATAACATGGGATAGAAGAGTGGTGTTAGTCCTTTTGTACAGCTCTTCATTTGAGATGGTATTTGACTAGAAAATGTGTAGTATTCTGCGAAGGCAACGGGTCGGAAAGGCATCTAGCTTGTTTGAAATGGCTTTTGTAACTTTCCATGATTCAGCACCATACAGGAGGACCGCAATCATATTACTCTTGAAAATCTTAATTTTGGTATTAATGCTTATCTTTGCTGACTTCCAGATGTTTCGCGGTGCAACATACGCTCCTGTGGCTTTTGAAAACCGAGCTAGGACATCTACCTCTGAGTTCCCATCTGTGGTTATCTTGCTTCCTAGATAGACAAAGTCTGTGACCTCTTCTATTTTGATAATATTTAGGGTGATAGGTTCGTCTGATTTAGTGTTGACCTTCAAACACCATGTTTACAAACATAGGCCCTACCACATAAAATATAAAAAAAAATGAAGGAATTAAACAAATTTCAAATTTTGTATGCAACAAAGAATATTTTTATTAACCATGAAAATATAGAAACATTATTTAATAGTTTCTATAAAAAAAAAAAAATTAAAGTGTCAGCGTCTTTTTTGCAAGTTTCTTTTGTTCGTGTTGTTGATTTAAATCTTGAAAAATTGTTAAGTCGTACGAAAATTAGATCAACAGAAATATCTCCCTTGCATGAGCAGCTTTTTAACCAATTAAAGAATTGAAAATTTTCAACATTATGCATTTTCTACCAATCACTGAAGAGAGGAAGTGCTAGTCCAGAGACTCTAAAATACTTCAACTCTGTATACCGTCTTTCAAGCTTTATTCGAATCATCAGTGAAGGAGTTAATTTATCTCTAATATGAATTTTGGAAGTGAATGACTGGGGAGCATTAAAAATATTAGTATTTTATTAAAGTATTTTCACCAAAACAGTCGAGAAAAACTGCAAAATTTTAAAAACTGAAGAGGTGAACATTTTACAATAAATAAAAGCAGAATAAATAAATCATTTGATAAAAAAATATATAATAAATTAATAAAAATCGCAAATTGAAAGATAACCAAAAATGGCACGTAGTGCTTTGATTTTGCGGTGCATTTGTAAATCAAAATGAATTAACTCATCTATATGTAAATCAGTATTTAAATAATAAAATATGTATGATCATCAAAAAGATGTAATGCAGATGCATGTACCCCCCCCCCCCCCCCAAATGAAATTGACCTTTCCACGTGATAATACCCTGAATCTGTAGCCCGTGATGATGTAGATCTAAGCTGTATGACATAACAAAAGATCAAATTAAACGACTTTAGAAAAAATATCGTTGTGTCAATTGCAGCAATAACATGTTCAAAACAAATTTCAATACTTCTGCCAACTTTTCAATTTTTAGTTACCACGTCACTTCTGGCACTGTAATCAAAAACTAGAACCTTATATTGGTTTGCGTTCATATCTTACAAACTCCTATGCAGGGGAATACCTATTGTAAATCCTTTGAATAAAATCATACATTAATAATTATCTGATCAGAAATGAATATTATTTTAAAACAAAATAAAGAAATTTCGTTTAAAGTAAGTTTTAAATATTTTACTCGTAGTTTTTATCTATGCTATCAATGAGAAATATTTCGATCGAACTACTTAAAAAAGAAGTGGAGCATTTCCCCAGTTGTACTTTCTAACACAACCACAGATAGTTCAGCTGCTTCTGTGGCCAATGGTTATACACCAGGTAAATAAATAAAAAAATGGTTTGCATATTAAAGGAAATGTAATAAATATTTCAGTAAAAATTTACATAGCCAATCAGAACCCCCCCCCCCCCCCCCAAAAAAAAGGTCATATGAATCCAGTTTTCCTCTGCATAGTGCTGGTTATATAAAGGATTTTATAAATTTTGTGTTTCTTGCAATTTATATACATGTACATATGCATGTGAAAGTTTATAATGTGTATGTTGTAAAATATTATTTAGGCCTTTGACATATTGTATTAATAATTCCAGTGATTCAAGATTAAGAAGAAAAACCTGGTATAGTTCTTCAATGTACTTTGTCACTCTTATAGTAAGCTTATTTTAGCACGCACATGTAAATATATGTGAATTTGTTAAGAAGTTTCCTCAAAAGTCAGCTTTATACGTATTTCCATTAAAATAAGTTCGAGTGCATCAGCATTTAATACAGAAACTTTGCAAATACCAACCTTATTATAGCAGCTTCATTGTTATGTTGTCGTAAAATGTAAAAGTTCAGCATTAAATTGTGTTCATATTTACATAACCTTGATCAAATAACAAAGACCGCATAGTACAAATATTAATTAAATAGTAATTAATGTTATCATTCCATTAAATCTCGTTTAAGGTTAATATAACTATCGATTAAAATTCACCTCATATATTTATCTTATTGATACGCTGAGTTTATGATGTGTATTTTTCATTATGTCCTTATCTTCTTCTTTTTAATCGGAATATTATTTACGTCAATTGATTAATTCACAAAGAGACGGGTAGGAATAGATGTCCCTCTTGAAAAAATACGAAAACCGAAATGACTTTTTCAGAAAGAAAGACACTAATAAATCATTTAAACTGCCCTTACAGTGTATATTCCAATTCAGCAGATACATTTATATTGCAAGATCTTTAAATTTTAACAATGGCTATACAAGGTCTGTTTTCTTTTACGATCATGAAGCGATATTTTATCCTCATATATAGAGCCGCACCGGGTAAACACACACGAAAAAGAATAATCACGGCAGGAGAAATCATAAAGTCATCTGGGGATTTGTCTAGAGTAGATAGGTAAGTCATGAAATATTCTTGTTTAATCTTAACAAAAATGCATGTGTCTATTGATAGTTTGTCAGATCGTCGGAATTTAATTACAAACTAGACATTGCTTTCGTTCCCTACAGCTGCGCAATGTGAAATAATCATGTCAAAACCCACTATTTAAATTTCACTCTTTGTGTTTTAATAACATCCATTGTTATGTTCTGTAATTTGTTTTTTAACTCTTATGAAATGGATTTACCTTATCCGGATTAGATACAAACGTTTAAAAATGAAACAGAAAAAAATTAATTAAATTATATTCTCCTAAGGGTTTAAGACAGTTGATAATTATGTGTATTCTTTGAATAGGAGAAACGCCCTCTTCTCTTGACCAATATCTAAGCATATATATTTTCTAAACAAAGTAAATATGTTTAATGCTTGAGAAGGCTGGGGAAACTATCGCTGTTAATAAGGGTAAATATCATTTAAATGTCAATTATAAAATGACAATAATGTCGAATATGGAATCGCCATATACATGTTGAATTGAAGTATCCGCTAACTAATATAAAACTCCCGCCCCATTGATAATTATAAATCTTAGCCAAGTATTGAAAACCAGGTTTATGTAAATTAAATTTTACATGAATCATTCATGTTGCTTCTCTAAGGGTACTCCGAAGAAAACACAAGTTCCATGGATTTTATTCAAATTGAACAGATACTCAGTACATGTATATGAAAATTCTAGAATGACCTGCTAAATGAAACAAAGCCTTAACGATCCGTGACCTCTTCAGCTTTGCACAAAAGTCCATAAAGATTTACAACCAATGTACTTTTAATTACCAAATACCCTAAGCTGGTATCACTTAATTATTAAAACCGTAAGTTGTTATAACATAATTAAATACTTCAAGTCTACAAGTCTGCCCACCGTTTTACAGAAACATTGATCGATTATAGGCAAAATACTTCTGTGCTTGAAGTATAGGCTTTGGGGTTAAATATATGAGTATCATTTATGACTTTTTAACATTATTTTACCCAGCTTAATAATACACGACTCTGTCCTAGTACATGTGTACCTTTGGATTACCAAGATTATCGTCAAAGGATAAGTCACATGCTAGGTGCCAACACGCAGTCTAGTAATCAAGTATTAGTCTTCTAAACAGGGTAAAATGTGAACAAACTGGAGTTTATATAATTGTGGAGTACATGTATACATAATTAAGAGGTAAGAGCAGCTAGGTTATGCGGAGGGGGTTGGGGGGTTGGGAAGATGTTGTTCCCCTCCCTTCTATCCTTCTTTGGGAAATTTAAATGTTTATGAATGTATATAGGTGTTTGAAGAAGTTATGATTTTCTGATTTTGTTTTAACGTCATAAGTATGGTTTTATATGGTTTGTCATGTTGTTTTTAATGAATTTGATATGATTTTATTTTTTTAAAACTCAATATCAGTGTATGAATACTATTGATGATTTGTATATGTATTGCATTCACCTATGTCTGATGTTATAAAAATATTTTGTTTTTGAAGGCAAATCAAAGTAAAAATTTGTAAGATTCGTTATATAAATGTTAGAGCTGACATAATTTCCTTATATGGGAAGACTTGACGTAAGACATGATTAAATTCAATTAAACCTATTTATCAAAACTCCCATTTCTAGGATGAAAGAAGGAAATAACACAAGCCCAGAATTAAACTGAAACATTGATTTATCTTTATAAACGTGTTTAGCAGGCAAGTAAAACAAAATGTCTTCAGACTATTAATACTAGAAAATCCATATACTGTTATACAGTGTACCTTGAAAGGAGGGGGCGGGCTGAAATGGACCACCACTCTTTCTTCTCAATGTAAAGAGTCCTGTCATCGATCTTAAAGTTACATCCATCCCAGTTTCTTTGTATGTAAATAAATGTTCCTTATTTGAAGAACAACAAAAAGAATGGCCTCTTTGATTTCCACATGATTGTTTAACCAGTTGTTATAAGCTTATGGTGCCTTGTATGTAACTTCAGATTGCAAAGGTCAAAGTCAAGATATCAAAAATCTTGGTAACCATGGAAAGGTCTTGTCACAAGGAATACGCAGTTGAAATATGAAAGCCCTAGCGCCAATCATTCAAAAGTTATGGCCAAGGATAAAGTTTTTCAAAAGTATTGTAGGTGAAATTCCAAGGTAAAGAAGTCACAAATGTTGGTTCTGTATCAAAGAGAAGGTTTTGTCACAAAAGATGCACAAGCCTGTAGTGAAATATGAAGCCCTAGCATCAAAGCATTAAAAAATATGTCTAAATTAAAGTTTTACGAAACTAGGTCGAACTCTAAGGTCAAGGTAAAAATGTTGGTTCCCAAGAGAAGATCTTGTCAGAAGAAACTTATATGTGAAATATGAAAAGACTAAGCACTAACCGTTCAAAATTTATGGCCAAGGTTAAAGTTTTTCAAAAGTAAATGTATGTCAAAGTCCAAGGTCTTGTAAGTTTGGTATAATTTTGCAAAAGTGGGTCAAACTTCAAGGCAAAGGTCAAAAGGTCAATTGTATAGTTATCCAAAGAAAGGTCTTGTCACAGAAATACACGTGAAATATGAAAACCTTAGCTTAAACTAATCAAAAGTTATTGGCAAGTTTAAGTTTTTTTCAGACAAACAGACGGACAGACTGGCTGACCAAAAGAACTATATGCCCTGAATCTCCTATGGGGGGGGGGGGGGGGGGGGAGGATAAAAGCAACTGTATAGTAGTCGACATCTGAAAATTAAAAAAAAAATGAATAAAGGGCTTTATCATTAGGACGTATAATTACATATAACGAGGACTTAATTAATCAAGATTTATAATAACTGGAGTCTGCAGGTTGGAAAGGTTACATTGATCTTTATGCTTAATAAATTATTTGTAATCTTGTATTAATTGAAACATGTATGAGCTGAACGTTGTGTATACATGTATGTATATAATGACAATTAAACAAATTCATTAAGATTGACTTAAACTAGTCAATCGGAATATATTCTAAGATTTTATCAAACTATCGATTCTAATCATAACAATATTTGGCGTTTCAAATTCATTGAAATGTATAAGGAAATAACCAACAGAATTAAGTGAATGCAAGTGAAAAAATATTTGAAACATTCTCCACAATATTATTAGATCTAGATATACTTAAGATGGCACATCTAGACAAAAAGATATTAATTGTCTGTTGTTTTACAGAGCTGGGTTGATGTCTAAGTGCAACTTTCGCAAAATAATTCTTTGATGACGTGAAAGCAAAAGGTATAAGTTCAACCCAAAGATAATTATATCAGTATACAATCTAATTATAGTTGAAAACTTAATGTCAAAATGTGAAATAAAACTATTTGCAGACTGGTTTTACTCTGATAAATATATTCTATATACAAGTAAGTCTTTTAGTAAATAATGAAAATCGCTTTGTTTTCCAGTATTTGTACCTCATACAAGAATTCCGCCATTAATTTTTATATTGCACCAACGGATTGCAATTGTTCTTGATAAAACCCGGCATTTAAAACTATTATATTTAGCACAGGAATAAATCAAAAAATCGAAAGATGGAACTTTTAATAGAGCATATATCTTTATCTATATAATAGCAAATTATTCTTGACCATTCGCCAGTTCGGTATCCAATTATGATAGCAGATTGCTCGATATTTTACGCTTAACTTGTTTATAAATGAATTCTAGCCTTTCTATTTCAGACAATGAAAGTTATAACCCCCCTGATTTTCCTGGTCTGTGTTTTGTTTTCCTCACTGACCTGCGCCAGAAACCTCAGCAGAAATATCAGGTGCACCTTCAATCATTCAGTTATGTAAATTATTCACTATAAAACCAAATTATCAATATAAAAACTGTGACATTGCTGATTTATTATTCCCAACATTTTTTTCTCCATTTTATGAATTATTAAATGTGATAGTACCGCCGTATAAACATATACAAAGAATGGTCGATAGGTCGGTACATGATAAGTTTCTTGTGTATTCGTTGTGTTACTGTTTTAGAAAAATAAACTCATGATTGTACAATGCCATAGAGGGAATATCGAATTTTATTTATTTTTTTTTTTTTAAAAAAGGGGAACTGCGATTGATGTATTCTACTGAAAAAAAAAAAAGATCACGTTAAGTGCTATACTTGTAACTTCATTAAAAATGAATAGCATAAAGACTTTTGAAATCTGCATGGTCACACAATAAAAAAAAAACCTTACTCTATATAAATTTTGCATGTTATGGAAATTTTACTTGCTGTGCCCCCCCCCCCCCCAGCTGAGAATACAGTGTATTTGGTTGTGCCCCCCTCCCCCAATTGAAATTGCTTTCTACGTTCTTAGATACAATGTATGTGCTCTATTTCAGACAGGAAATTATTGAAAAACTTTTAACTGGTTATGAAGCGACTGTTGCCCCAACAGAACATGGTATGTACATGTACGAGACGTACTTACATTTTAGTTTAATTTAATGGAGAAACATTTTTATCATGATACTGATGCAAAACATAAGCGAGATACAGTTGAATAATTGAGTTGGGGTGGAAGAGAAGGTTTTCGAAATAGGACAAGTCTGGAGAGAGAGAGAGAGAGAGAGAGAGAGAGAGAGAGAGAGAGAGAAATCTGTTTAAAAATCTTATAGCAGATCAAGTTTTCTACTCTTCATGATTTTTTAGTTATTTGATATTGATTTTGAGAACTATTTTCTCCTTTACGATCAATGCATTCATGAAAATTAAAAGAAACCCAAACTTAAGTTTAAAATACAAATACAATTGATTCTGCATTTGTTAATACTTTATATAAAATGAAAATTTTATTTCTGTTGCACTGCTTTTAATTAACAGATATTCCGGTGACAGATATAGTCCAACTTTACATACTCAGCATTGACTCAATTAGTGATTCCAGCATGGTAAGTAAAGATTTATACCTGAATACATCTCCAAAGATAACATTAATATTGTATTTGAAAATATATTTTTAATTAAAAAAATTAAACCCTGAAATTCACGTTTTAGGAGAGATGTAAGTGAGGTTTATGGTTTTACTGATTATTTTTGCCACCTCTTAAAATCACTAGGAAAAAAAAAACTAATAATAAAGTTCATGTTGGTCTGTTTTCTTAAAATCGAAATAAAATACATGTATCTGAAAATTCAAGTCAAGACCGATACACTTAGTAATACAAAGTTTATGCCTCCGTCATTGAAGCCACATGTACTCCAACTATAGCTTTCAAAATCGCTCTTGCAGTTCTATTTTTTTTCGTCCTAATATAAACATGATTCAATTTGATTGTAGGACTACGATATGTCTTTTTACCTCAGACAAAGATGGTATGACCCCCGTCTTCAATACAACGAATCATTGGGAGCAGATGTTTTGGAACTGGATCCCAAATTGATGGACAAAATCTGGGTACCAGACATCTATATAATTAACGAAAAGACCGCCAAAATCCACGTGGTCACCGTCCCTAACAAAATGATGTATATATACCCTGACGGTCTCGTGCTCTACAGCGCTAGGTTGGTCATTTGTTTGTATGCTTTTTTAACGTCCACGATCACTCATATTGAGACGCCACCACTTGCCTGTGGAGGGCTGCAAATTTAGACATATACTCGGTACTTACTGCCTTTGAGCAGTGAAGGAACTTCTTTGTGCCAACTGCACCTACTGCGACACTGGACTTCGGTTTATATGGTCACAGCCGAAGGATCGGTCTCACAGTGGATTCGAACCCGCGATCAACTCGCGGACGACGGTCATTTTTTTGATAATTGTTATAGAAAAATCTGAGTCATCGTCTCAAAGTCTGAGTAAGGCTTCAGTCCTTTCCCGCCCGTCTGCGAACTTGCCTCTCTGTTCCAATGGACTGGGTACAAATTCAATAGGTTTTCCATTTTTAGGTCACCTGAGTCACTCAGGTGACCTATTGCAATCTGTTTTCGTCCGTCGTCGTGCGTTAACTTTTGAACATTTTCAACTTCTTCTCCAAAACCGCTGAACAAATTTCAACCAGTTTTGGCATATAGCATCTATGGGCGAAGGGGAACAAAATTTGTGAATTTCATGGTCCTTGCCCCCCCCCCCCCCCGGGGCCCGAGGGATGGGGCTAAAACCACTAAAATTGATGCAATCTTTAAAAATCTTCTTCTTTACTCCTGGACACCAAGCAGTCAAACTGTTGACATGATTGTAATAGGCATTGGGCTCTCTACCAAAATTGTGAAATTCATGACCCCAGTGTCAGGGGTTCTGGTGTTAAGGCGGGGCTATATAGGTCAGATAGAGAAAATGCTTATTTCTTTGAAAATCTTCTTTTCTTCTCCAGGGTATTATTTAAACAAAGTGCATGGTTATGATAATCAATGATACCTTTTCCTAAATTGTGAATTTCATGGCCCCTGGGTCAGGGGTTCTGGTGTTAGGTTGGGGCTCTATTGATTATACAGTGAAAATGCATTAATTCTTTGAAAATCTTCTTCCCTGCTTCTGGGTATTATTTAAACAAACTAAGTGCATGATTATGATAATCAATGATGCCTTTTCAAAAATTGTGAAATTCATGGCCCCTGGGGGGGGGGGGGGGCTCTATTGATAATATAGAGAAAATGCATTATTTCTTTGAAAATCTTCTTCTCTTCTACAGGGTATTATTTAAACAAAGTGCATGGTTATGATAATCAATGATGTCTTTTCCTAAATTGTGAATTTCATGTCCCCTGGGTCAGGGGTTCTGGTGTTAAGGTGGGGCTCTATTGATAATATAGTGAAAAGCATTAATGCTTTGCAAATCTTCTTCTCTGCTCTTGGGTATTATTAAAACAAACTAAGTGCATGGTTATGATGCACGAGGATGCGTTTTCTAAAATTGTGAATTTCATGGCCCCTGGGTCAGGGGTTCTGGTGTTAGGTTGGGGCTCTATTGATTATACAGTGAAAATGCATTAATTCTTTGAAAATCTTCTTCCCTGCTTCTGGGTATTATTTAAACAAACTAAGTGCATGATTATGATAAGCAATGATGCCTTTTCAAAAATTGTGAAATTCATGGCCACTGGGTGGGGGGATGGGGGGGGGGGCTCTATTGATAATATAGAGAAAAAGCTTAATTTCTTTGATAAAATATTAAAAATGCATTATTTTTGTTAAATAATCCTGTCTGTCCCTTATTGTTGAGCAGATAAACAAAGTGCATAGTTATGATGAACAATTGTGCTTCTTACAATTTTTTTTAAAAACTTGTGGTCCCAGGTGTTGGTGTTTCACCGGGAGGGGGGGGGGGTATATTGATAATATAGTGAAAATGTGTTAATTCTTTGAAAATCTTCAACTAAGTGCATAGTTATTTTTGATGATGAAGGTACCTCTACCAAATTTGTGAATTTCATGACCCTGGGACATTGGCTTTAGTGTTAGGATAGGGCTGTGTTGATTCTGTAGTGAAAATGCATTATTTCTTTGAAAATCTTCTCTGTTCCTTGGCAAATCGAAGGCAAACAGAATAAAAGTTTTAATAAGCAAAGATATTTTTACCAGATTTTTGAACATCAGCACCATTTGGTCAAGTGTTCTGGTCCTGGCCAGCGCTCTATTAATTTGTATTCTATTGAGAAAAGTTATTCCCCTTTGCCATTCACTTTTGATAATTAATCACTGTAAATAATGTACGTGTATTTGAAAGTCAATAGACTAAGAGAATTATGCAAGAAATGTTATTGTATTATACAAAAAATACTTTCATACTTATAATGATCAGGTAGACTTGTAAATATAATAAATCAAAATGAGACAAAAATAACTTATTAAATGTTCTTCAAAGACCAAGAGAGGCCAATGTGAGAGGTCACAATATGAGGTTAAAAGTAGTACGGAAGAACTAATACTAGTTTGTTTATTGTCTGCATTGCGATAGTGATAAATGGGGGATAGATTAGAATTCAATTTATGAGTTGTTACTGAATACTAGACTAATTATTTCATTGATCCTGATCATCCTATTTCTCTTGCTTTTGGGCAACAAATCTTCATCTACCAGTTTATTTTATACTTTATGGATCCACTAAATTGTTGTATTATACTCAGGTGACCGTTAAGGCCCTTGGGCCCCTTGTTGATTAAGAATTTGCTTAAAAATGACATTAATTCAAGGAAGATATTAGACTGTATTTCTTATTCTGCATATGACGTATTACTTGTTACAGATATAAGGCAAAGTCATGTCAACTAGTAATCAATGTATGAGATGTTTGTATATTCACTCTTTTTTTTTTCTCTAAAAAAGGTTATATACTGAAGTCTTTCGAACAATTTTCTGTCAATGCCCTCAACAATGGCCAGATGCATGATATTCCTAGGCATGAAGCGTAATTTTCGAGATTGTATGAGTTTCTGTCTTAATTTCTTCTTTATTTTTTAGTGTAAGGGTATATCTGTACAGAAGAATGTCCATGCGTTCATGAGACAGAGGCACTCACATATAATTGAGAATTATACATCCAAATTTTCTACAAAATTTGAGGTTTTAAACAAGAGCAAAGCAGCGCATCCATTCGAAATTATTGCGTGTTGTCCTCTACAAAAATTTAGAATTTTTCAATTTAAATTTGTATACAAATGTAAATTGAAAAATTCCAAATTTTTGTAGAGGACAGTATCTTGCCCCCCCCCCCCCCCCCCCTTCGTTGAGAGGGTACATGTATAAAAAAGAAATTGAGCATAAATACGTAAAATGAAGTGGAGTGTGGAGTGACATAACAGTAGAAAGAAGAATCTTCAGTGAGTAACGGAATCAACGCGTCAATCTTTACTTTACAGGGTATCAGGGGTGTTTTCTTGCATGATGGATCTACACAAATACCCGCTAGATAAACAGATCTGCGACATACGTCTGGAAAGCTGTGAGTTTCTCTGTTATTTGATTGTAATAATTCTTTTTCGAAGTTGACACAATGTTGCTTTCGAATCCGAAAAATATTAATATTCAATTTACAAGTTAACTGTACAGATCAATTTGCATTTAATTAAAGTTGTGGATAGAGAAGTTATGTATATTTTTAATGCTTTTGTGGCAATCGAGAGCATCTAGTCTATTTAAAGTGTAATCGGTACATCTATTTCATTTTCAAAGCCTGGAAATACCATGTTTCCCTTAAAATGATGACATTTCTTCAGTCTTGCTCTTTTTTGAACGAATTCATTGAAAAGATAATAAATGAATTGTGAAATTTTGAAACGTGTTCGCCTTTTAAAGAGATGTTTGTTTGTTTTTGTCCTTTTTAGAAAACAAAATTTAATATTCATTCTATTGTCACAGCAAGCATTTCACTGTTGCGATCAAGATGCTTACAAATTACAAAATGTCTACTGTTTTCTATACATATAGACAGGTAGCGTTATATTTACGTTATATAGACTTTGATTCAAAGTTTTAGATTACATTCATACCTGTCGTTGGTATAACAAGAAATGATTAAAAGAAAGTAAATCTTAAACAAAGTATAACAATTTACTGTTTTCATTCTCCTCCTTTGAATACTGTACTATTTTATCAAATACATTCTGCAGAAATAGTATGACTACTTTGTATGTTTAACGCAGAGGTTATTATATCCAAAAAAAAAAAAAAAAAAAAAAAAAAAAAACCTGTCAGAAAGTAGAGTGCAAATTACAGTCTCAAAGCAAATACATGTACTATTAAATCACGCATAACATATACACGTGAACACGCTGCAAATGAATTTGTACAGTTTCTATACTTGTTTGATAAACGTATTTAAGCAATAGACTATATCTATTAAATGCATGCACTTTTCCCCCTTTAGATGGACACAGCGCAGCCACACTGATTGTTAGGTGGCGGGAATCTCCAGCAGAGATCTCTAAATCCCTGCGCCTTCCGCAGTTTGACATCAATCTGCTTAGATCCTTCCATTGTGATCAGCAGTATATGGGAAGTAAGTAAATAAATAAAAATAAATACATTACATTACATCAACAAAAATTTTGATGAATTGGTTTTTCAGTAGACATCGATATGTACTAATACTGTCTAATAAGCTATTGCAACATTATACATGATGTATATCATAAGTAGATTCAGTAATTGTAAGCACAATGCTTTTACTCAAAATGAAAAAAAAAAAAAAGATAGAAAAGAAAATGTCAATGGAAACACGTGTAATGGTGTGAATCTTCTTCGTTGATAAACATCTCTTTAGGCCTAGGATGCAAACTATCTGTTTCAACTATAATCAAAAGATATTAAATATTTTATAACTTCATTTCAATGCCGTGTAGCAGACATGAGATTCATAATTATATAGATCATATAAAGAGCTGTGGATAAACAGTATAAGAAAAAATTAGATTTTTCATTTTATTTGCGGGTGTTGTTTGTTTGTTTGTTTTATTTTTTGTTTTGTTTTGTTTTGTTTTGTTTTTTTTTTTGCCTGTCATAATTTTTTCCGGCTAGCTCCACAACTTTAAAGAACAATTCATGAATATTACGTGCCTGATTTTGTTATTTCATATCTAAATGTTCTTTTCCTGTAGTAAACTACACCTGTATCGGGCTGGACATACACCTAATGAGAAACATAGGATACTACTTGACACAGACCTACATCCCATGTATATTAGTCGTAATCCTCTCCTGGGTTAACTTCTGGCTCAGCGTCGACGCGGTACCCGCCCGAATTTCCTTAGGTCTCCTTACGGTTCTCACGATGACGACACAGAGTTCCGCTGCCGTTAGAGGCCTGACAGTTGTGTCATATGTCAAGGCCATGGATGTGTGGGTCTTTGCTTGTTTATTTTTTGTTTTTGCCGGACTTTTGGAGTTTGCTTGGGTCAATGTATCAAATAGAGTAGAAAGTCGACGGAAGTCCATAACAGATTTACCGGGTCTGGTGAACGGAAAGGTATCAGTGGATTGCTTTAGAGAAATGATTTACAATTCTCAGTCAGAAACATTTTATAAAGCACTTTATGAGATTTACAAATTGCATTTATATGATTGATTTATATAAATTGCATAAATTGAAAAAAAAAAAAAAAGAAAGAGATATCTTTGTCAGTGTGCATTGAAAAATATCTTACATTTTCTTTCCAGAGTTCTCCAACAAAGGAGTCTCCGAAACATAGAGACGGGTTTTTCTTTAAACCATCGAAAAACCGAGAAAAGGCCAGAAACATTGATCGAGTCTCTCGTTTTTTGTTCCCCATAGCATTCATTTTGTTCAATGCTGCGTACTGGTCTATATACCTAGTTCTCTGGGAGCCCGTCCAGGACAAGCACGAGGATAGCGAAGGAATCACCATTCCAGTAAACCTTAATGACTCATGATGACGCCATGTAATGACGTCATGTGACGTCGTAAAAGCTTAATTTGATTGTGTTCACAAAAGATTTTTTCAAAATAGTTTTCCATTTTTGTGTTCATGGATGATTTTCTTGGAGATGAGGAAATCCAGCACCTTTTTCATGATTTTGGATCACTCGTTATTTCATTATTTATTATAATATTAAATCCTTTTGAGGTTTTCAACATCAGCCGGGAATCGTGACCTCTTGCCAGCGTACTGCTATATATGCAGATATACCACGACGTACTGCCAGTCTTTATGACACTGTATTTACAAGATATAATCAAAAAATGTACAGAATTATGAAAATACAACCTAGTAAATGCAAATGGTACTTATAATAACTAATTACTTCATGGGTACGTTGATTTCATCATGGAATGTCGGTTTTGAAGATGACATTTGCGTTATCTTATTAAGACTGCATATCAGCGTTGTAAAATTAAACAAACTACAGAGATGCAAGAATAACATTTTGAACAGGTCTCTTCGAACAGAATGAAAAATTAATAATGAATATATCAACTTCCATTCTATATTAGTAGACTTCCCATTCAAGATTTCGGTTGCTTTTTAAAGCAAAAGCCACGATAGCTAACTAGAATGTAAAATCTGTGCATGTCGTTAATCTGTTTATTTTGATTTTATTATACCAATCAAGCACCTTTTCCTAAATAATATCACTATTTTAAGTGAGTATATAAATGTGATTCAGGGTACCTCAAACGACTAATTTGTTTACCATATACCATAAAATCATGTATAATAGTTAAGGTTTGTTATCTTCTTACATGTAGCATTTACAGTTAACATTCAAAATCTCTAAATGAAAATAATGTAGAATGCCTAGGTACGTTAACGTTTAAAATTTCTAGTTAGTTTGGTTTTACTATCACTCAAAGCTTTTTATCAGCCTCGCCGAGATTTCAAGAGTTTTGCCTTCTTCGCTTTTTTAAATTGAAATCTGAAGTAAATAATTACGGCGAATCAATTTTCAAAATGAAAGTAAATAAACACTACAGGTTTCCTTAACGGAAAATTTTTGCTGTGCACAAAAATGGCGTAATTTGTGGCTAAATAGGAATTTTATTTACGAAAGAAAGAAATATTAAGAGGATATACTAGTAAACGTACTACTTATTTTCGAAGGGACTCTGAATATAGAATTCACTCGGAGAATTATTTATTATCCAATTCCTCTGTATATTATACATTTTGAAATCAACAAAAATGATCGGAAAAAATACAAGAAAACAGGCATATGTATAGAGAAAAAAATGATTATTCAACCTTTTTAAACACAAATCGATGGCGGGAAAGTATTCAATTGCATAATCAATTTGAAAGTTTCCTTTCATAATCATTCTACACATACCGGATGTTCAAAATCGACTTACTTTGATCAATTGAGGCTGCAACATCCCTTAAAATATTTTTGTAATGTGAGAACAAATTGATGCTACATTGCATTATTTTATAAATTTCATAGATTTTAAAGAGTCAGTCGTTCCTTTTTATGTCCCGGTTCCGTCATTCTGTCATCATGACCATCATTCTGTCATCATTGACATTCCGTTCATTATCTCGGCAATAGTTGTACACATTCAACTCAAATTTGACCTATGGATACGTCATAGGAATACGCAGGTTAAGTTTGAATTTGGTTATAGTCTTATGATTTTTGACTCAGTTATCCCTCTTGAAATTAAAAAAAATACAAAAAAAAAAAAATTAAGTTTCCCGTATCTAACTTTGTAGAGATGTATTTATAAGGTATAAGGTTAAAAATGCATTTGCAGGTACTTTACTAAAAATTATAGGTCAAGTTCGAATTTGGTTGTGGTCCGATGATTTTTGACAGAGTTATCATTCTTGAACTAAGAAATATATATATATATATATATATATATATATATATATATATATATATATATATATATATATATATATATATATATATATACAGTTTCCGCTCTCTAACTTTTGTAGATATGTATGTATAAGGTTGAAGATCCATATGCAGGTATTTAACCAGAAAAATCAGGTTAAGTTTTTTGAATTTGGTCGTGGTCCGATGATTTTTGACACAATTATCCCTCTTGAACTAAGAGAAAATGAGAAATTTTCAAATTCCTCCTTATAACTTTTATAGGAATGTTTGTATAAGGTTGCCAATGCATATGCAGGTATATTTATCCGCAAATACAGGTCAAGTTCGAATTTAGTCATGATCCGATGATTTTTGTCCCCCTTGAACTTGAAAAATATTTGAGAATTCACAATATCTAATCGTTATCTTGATTTCAAATGTGCAAATTTGAAATATTGGCTGCCTGCGGAGATATTCGTGGATTACGATACATCTAGTTGGCATATATCTTTATTTATTTACGAAATTGGTTAAATAGTGTCAGTTGTTGAGTAAAAAATCACAGGATACGGATCCGATCAAAATTATAAAGCTTAAATGATATTATTCAAAGTAAAGAGGGGACGATCCTCTGACAACAGATAATTTTCATGCATACCGGATACAGTTTGTCTTTCCGGTGTTTAGAAAAGGAGACCGTCATATAACCTGTTTTTGGATTATTCAGTAACCGATTTCAGCTAGATGGAACTATTCACTTATAGTTCCTCGTGCCAATATTTCTGATAGATATTAATAAGACACTGAATAGTAAATTTTGGACGTTAAAAGTGTCATAATACAGAGGGCTTTGCTTACATATTGAATAACGCAAGTTGGCGCGTAACGAAAAAAAAATGTTTGCATAGCCGTCCGTGTTATGACACGTTGTACATCCAAAATTCAAAAGAAACATTCTTAAAAAAACATTGAAAAAAGATCATTATTCCTTTTTTAAAATACTAAAATACTAAGTGACCATTTGCAATGTCACGTACATGTAATCGATACTTATATGAGGGGACTATTAAAAAAAAAAAAAAAAAAAAAAAAAAAAAAAAAAAAAAACAACTTGCGACAGTTTTATTTCTGTTTATTCAGATTACAGGTAAAACAAATAAGAAAGAAATAGTACACACGATAGAGAGGAGGGGTAATAGTCCATACGCGATAAGAAGAATGTTATTTGAAATCAAAATCCGCCTTAAAATAGTCTTTCCTGTCAATTTCAAGCAAATTATTTTTTTAAAAAGCTTTAGCCATATCTTGCAATTGAACAAGGTTGATTACTTTCCTCGTTATGTTGACCGCATCGCTGACGGAGAGAGCAATTTTGGCAATCAGAGCAGCACCCCCGGTGGCAAATGCAGCAATAATCAAAGCGGTGATTTCTGCTATAGCTCTTGCATACTCCCACCATCTCATTTCCTTAAAAGCCATTTTAATGATTTTCCAGAAAATGCCAAGGGAATTGGTTTCCTTTACTAGATTGAAAATAGCTTTTGCTTTATCCAGGGCACTTCCATTCTTCCAGGACCTAAGGAATGTATTTATGATTCGTTGGAAAGCAGGCTGTTTCATTGCAGGCATGACTTCTGTGATGATCTTTCGCAAGACGGACTCTTTAATGTGGACTTTAATACCAATGCAGCCCACGACAAATAATACGCTTTCAACAACAAGACTAACGATTTGGACTGTCGATGAATCTGTGATGCTTGCCAGCGAGGTCAGTTGGACAGGCTCAAGGAATTTTTGGCCTCCGCGCTGTACAGTTGCTTCTGATCCCTTGATGTCCATTGTATATGTCTCTTGGTCGACATATCCAGATATCATCTTAAAATCATCATCCGACAGAAGTGTTTTCATCTTCCCAAAAACTTCTTCATCTGGCATTTCTGAGATATCGCCAAGGGCGTTGGTCAACTGAATTTCCTTTGAGACGCATTTTCTCATAATATCATCAATCTCTTTTCGCTCAGCCTCTGACTTATCCTTTAGAGAAGGTTCAACCATATCAAGAATGTCTTTCGCCAATAGCATCACATCGTCAACGTTTGCTACAAAGATGAAACAATGCTAAAACCATGTTGCTTGACATTCATGTAAATACAATTTTTTTTTCTGTATACATTTATATCTCTCAATCTGTCTTCGATATCTGAGCACCACTAGTGCATGTTCAAAAGGAAGCATACCTTGGGAGGGAACAGCCATTTTCTTTCGTTGGCGATTGGATCCTGAAAAACTTAAAAAGAAATAGGTCTTTGTTATTTATTGTTTGGAAATGGCATTACTTAAGAGATATATTTAAGGAATGTTTTTAAGTTTTGTGTGAGTTATTGGTGTGTAAATCACACAGACTTGTCACGTAGGCATATTTCATGAAGCGCGCTAGCGCTTCATGAAAAATATGCCTACGTGCAAGTCTGTGTGATTTACACACCAATAATTCACACAAAACTTAAAAACATTCCTTATATTTACATTTTACAAGTTCAAAAGCAACAATATTATGCTCAATATTTGAATTTCTTGCTGCCCTATATCGTTACATTTTTATTTACGTGTCTGTAGCCTCATTGTGACGTCACTTTAGCACGAGTTTCACCGTGTATATTTCTACGCATGAGTATACACAAAAATGACTTTCAAATCAATTTCACAGTTGGCTTAGTAGAAAAACACAGCAAATATATATATATATATATATATATATATATATATATATATATATATATATATATATATATATATATATATATATATATATATTATATATATATATATATATATATATATATATATATATATATATATATGTATGTATGTATGTATGTATGTCTTTCAACGATCATTTCCTTTCTTGAAAAGAAAAGTAAATGTGGCACATAATCGGCTTTTATCGGTTTTTACCACATTTGATTTAATTAAACATTAGAAAATGTTTAGTCTACATTGAGTGCAAGCGGAAATAATTTTTTGTAAGGTGAAGCTGACGGAAGTTCATTAAAATATTTCTGAAAATAAACAAGTTTGAATAATTTGATACCAATGATTTTATAGTCTCACATATACCGTTACGTTCAAATTAAAGAGGTACGGTATTGTAAATTTAATCAACTATCAATGTGTGAAAAACATAAAAAATCAGTTCAAAATTAAATACCTTGTCAATGGAAACTAAAGGTTGAGGT